AGAGAAAAAGGAAATTATGAGGAAGCAAGAGCTAAATCATCTTTAGCGAAATCTCTTTCTGTCTCTGCAATCATCTTCGGAATAGCTGTTGGTATTTCTGTTTTAATTATAAAACTTACAATATGAAACTGAAAATAAAGTAACTACATTCAACTCTGTTTAAATAGTTTGGACTTTGTTATGAGGTAACTGTTGAAAATTCTGACTCATTCAAAAGTGCCACATTCACCTTTGTTTCTATTTAAGTATCTTAAATAAGGATTTTACAAAAACTGATTTGATATAGGATTTATCTTTTGCTTGTTTGGTACTATTTAACTACAAAGTAATCTGCATAATAAATTTAGATCAATTGTCATTAATGATTAAATTGTTTCTTCATTCTAAAGTAGTTCTTTTGTCTAAACTTATGTAGAAAAAGAGTTATATTTACATAATATTAAACAAATTTGAGGAAATGTTTATATTTATGAATATTTTTGGCAAAATATTTTTAGTAATTTTCATCAATTTTTTCTTTCTTATGATGTGGAGTAAAGATATTAGAGATCTTGTGACCAAGAAATACAACAAACTCTCACTGAGTGGGCCAGGACATATATAGAGAGGAAAATATTTGAAATTCAATGAAATAAAGATTGACGGTAGTAAGCTTTCCAGTACAATGAAAAGAAGAGAATTAAACAATAACTTGTTCTAATACAGAAGAGTTCTTTATCCTGAGCTGTCAAAGACAAACTAAGTCAATTTTCTGCCAAGAAGATTCTATTCAAATATGGTCTGAAAATTCAAACTAATAACCATATAACAAAGAATTATAATAATATCAGAAAAATACTAGTAATAAAATGAGCTTCTAGTCCCAAACAAGACAAAGAAAAGTTGCTGATGTTGCACTTCTTTTAAATCACAGTTAAACAGATAAAGACAGACATTTTAAAGTGTTGAATGACTGTTAATGTCCTTCACACAAATATCAAAAAACTCTCCAATTTTCCATTCAGGTTTTGTTACTAATTTAGAACAATTTCATTACATAATTATAAAGTAATTACTTAAAAAAATTCTTAACAATTCTCTCTGCTCATAAGATAGTTTGCAATTAAGAAAATTAATACGCAACTTAGCCCATCTTGACTTCATGCTTAAATTAACTGCTTCTAGAAGCTTCCAACCCTTTGCAAATATTCAAAAATCCATTTGATGAGAAGATGGATCAGTTTTGGGGATTCTAAAGATAATTCTAAACAGTAGAAACAGAAATGTATTGCATATTAAGATGATTAAAAATTTTTTAAAAACTGTAATCAATTGAAAAATTCTTCAGTTTTACTACTAAGTGTACACCATATTTCATTCAGCTGAGGGTTTCCAACAATCGTAATACAATGGGAAAGTTGTGTACGTTCTCCAATGGAGGAATGCGACAAAAAAAGTCCACAAATCAATAATTTTACTCTAACTCTAACCCAGCCCTTGGCTGTGCCTAACTTTTTCCATTACCCCAACCCTTACAGGAGACCCTCCTAGGTACAAATCAGTTGCCGTCTTCTTCTTCTAAAGGTTCTGAAGTTTTAATATCCAATGAGTGATAATATAACCTAGTTTTTGAAATTTTGAAAAAGTATGAATACTTTCGGTTCCAATGCGCGCCAAAACTTAGAAAACAGGAGTTTTTAAAATTTTGAAAAAAACACTTTCCATTTCCACATAAAATTTGTTAACCTTGATATAATCACCTATTATCGCGACTGCACAGTATTATTAAACCGGGGTCGAGACAAAATGTCCCCTGAAGGTAAATTTTAGGGCTAGGTTTGGAGCTTTTTTATGGTTAGGAAAAATTCAATTTCATTGATTTCAGTCTACACCAAAAAGTTTTGAAATTGTCAGCAGTTTATCAAAATTAACATTGGAAACTATTTCATTAAATTTTCAAAGGATAACAAATTATTATTTTGAAAAAAACATAAAATTACCATTTGAACTTTGTGAACAGATGATTTCATTTGCAAATCATTATTTAATTGGTTTGAATGAACAGCAATTAATCTATTGGCAGAATATACCAATCAAGTTTAAGAAAGTTTCTGCATTTGGAAATCGTCTTCAAAATGCTGACAGTTTATCATTTCTCAAAGATCAACCAATAGAATATTTAGAATTCAGAAATTTTACTCATTTTCCAATATACAAATTATTTGAAGATATAAATAAAGGAGAAATTACTACTCTAATCTTTTCAGATTATCAACAAGAATTTACAAATGAAACTGCTTTTATTAAATCAATACATCATTTAAAAGTATTGGATGTCTGTGGAACAGACATTAATGATTTCCATTTTGAAATGTTGTGCGAAAATTTAGTCTTATTACAAGAATTAAATATATCTTTAACAAATATTAAAGCCTATTCTTATGTTGAGTAATATAAAAGTTTTCAAAAAGATGTCAGATATTATTATTCAGTATGATGAATTTCAATATCTATTCCATTTGAAATATCTAGAAATACTTGAGTTATCTGAATGCAAACTTAATACTGAAAATATTCAAGATATTTCACCTGAGAATGTATGGAAGAATATAAAAATTTTAATACTAAATTCTTATAGGCCTACAGAAATTGAGGATCACAGCTTTTTAAGGTAAATAGTCACATTATTTTTTATCTACAATTTCAATTTTTATAAAAAAAAATTTATAGATAATCATAAAAAATTTGAATTTTTAGGCCTATTGTCTAAAATTTCTTATAATAATAGAATATATTATGTACCATGATCACAGAATAATCAATTGTCTTCTGTTGATCTTAATTGGACGGATGTAAGAAAGAAAAACTTCTTTTTGTCTAAATCATTGTTTCTGTTTTTTTTTTAAATTTAGATGGACAATTGTGAAGATTTAGAAATTCTTTCCAAAGTATATGAATATTTGAAAAATAGTTATTGTTACTATTTTTATTTCTTAGTACAAAAAAGGGTTAAGTTAATTAAAAAAAACTGTTCAAATGTTTTAAGTACATCCTACTGGAAAGTGAGTAATATAGACATAATAGACTAACTCTTATCCTTAATCAACTACTGTAGATGATCTATAAGAACTTTAAATTTCTAACTAAGCACGTGACTATGAACCATAGAAGAAGACGTTTTATGGCCATTCATCTATTTCGTATTTTTAACACTTTCAGAATGTTTAAGAAAACATTACATTTTGATTCTAAACAAAAAATGATGGAAGAAATGATTGTTTTGTATCTGAAATACATGAAAAGCTTTGATGAAGAAACAAAAACTTATCCTTATTTTTACAGTTTCCTTTCCAGTTTTCTATCATTTAGTTATAAGAATTGGAGTCTTTTGAAAAATGTATAAAATGCAATTTTCATTATTGGTGTTTTTTTTTATATAAGATAATTGTTTTTTTTTTCACAGAAACAGTTGGAAATATTAAAAGTTCTTTTAGCTTCATTTAATAAGAATATTTGTTGTTCTTCCAATATTAAAAAAACTTAAAAGGCTAATTGCAAATTGTCAACTTTCTGATGTATGAAATTATGAATCACATATTACATATATCTGAAGAATTTCAACACTATTTTGGATGAAATTTGTGACAAATGTTGGGTTAATATGTAACTAAAAAAATGACCTTAAAGGCTGTGTTGCAACAAGTAAGCCAGCACTAAAACCTTGCCATCCAAGAAATAGAAAAGCTTTTTGTAAGGCTATGCTAAACAAGAGTAAAGAAAATATAAACAAAATTATATTTTCTGATGACAGTCGGATTGAGTTGTATCCAAAAAAGAGAATTTGGGTCTGTAGGGGTAGTGATAAATTGTGTGATCCAAAATATACAAAAAAACCGGATATTAACTAAATGTACAGTTAATTAAGTTTTGCTGCTAAAACTTCCACAAATCAGTGCTTTTACCCTAACCCTAACCCAGCCCTTGGCTGTAGCTAACTTTTTCTTTTACCGCAACCCTTAGAGGAGATCCTCCTAAGTACAAATCAGTTGCTGTCTTCTTCCTAACCATTTCTCAATTCAAAATCTAGTCTTGAAAGCTCTCATTTGTGAACATTTTGCTGTCGAACCCCCATTTGAGATATAAAACTCCTAGACTGTAATCACTACACAAATGCAATTACTAATTATGGTTTTTCTTTGGTTATTATTATGATTGTGTGAATATTTCTTTTATTTTACTAAAGATTTAGATTTGCTTAAAATTTCAGCATATTTCAAATCGTTAATGGTTTTGCGGGCTATTTTCAATCCTATTACATTAATTTTCAATAATTGAAAGCTAAAATCATCATTGATTTGCCTAAATAAAGATTGGAGAATTATTACACTATTGTTCCAATGACTATAGTCTTCTCAGAATGGAGATTATTTGTTGTAAAGTCTTTTGCACACAATTTTAAAGTTTTAACTGTTTAAATAAAATTTTAAGTATCGGCTATTATTCTTTTCATAAAAGCTGGTAGAATTCAATTCGAATAGTAAAACTTTGTTATTACAAATGCTGAATAAGCTATTTTCACTAGTACTTTTAAATATCCATTTCAATCGATTGTATAAAGAGTGATTGAATTATGTTTTCTTGGTATCTAAAGAAAAAATTAACAAGAGTTCTACAACTCTTTTAGAATTGAGAAATAATGTACTCTAACAATTATATAAAATATTAAAAGGATATTTCTGTTGATTTCTCACAAATACAATTAGTGTCAATTAAGAGACAATTGCCTTATGTTTCCATAAGAAAAACAATGTTTTATTAATGCAAAAACAAATCAATCTTAAATTTTTTGCCTTGAATTATATACAAACCTCTCGGGATAGGTGTCGCCACTGTTGTAATTGCGCAATAAATTCTCTAGATAAAACTTTAGATATTGACAACTGAAAAATATCGAAAAGATTTATAATCCACATTTGGTGGCTCTATTCAATATGTTATTGAATTTTTAGAAAGTAATTACTTCCTGTTGGATTTTTATACCAGTTCCAAAAAAGATTATCTTTGAATTAGAGAGAATTAAAATCTCCATTAAATTTGCAAAATTTTCGACAAAAATATCCAACTGAATGCTTTAACACAATTTGATTTTTTTAGGAAAACTTACTCTGTGTATTACAATAATAAGATTATGAGTAGTTTTAAAGTTTCTAACATGTTTTGTTCCACTTTTAAAACTGTTAGTTCTACCTGAATTTTGTAAAATATGAACCAGATTGTCTAATTATATTCTAAATCGACAATGATGTAATATAAAAGGATGGAATGGTGAATATTTAAAAAACATTAGAGATAATTAAATGCAAGAATATTACAAACTTTCCTGCCATTTGTTTGCAATGTCAGCATCACTTTTAAGAGATTTTGTCCATTTAAATGCATAAATATTACCATGAAAATCTTTAGTAGGACAAGCTCCATCACAGAATCCAAGTGTCAGATAACTAGTAGGAAACTACTAGTTCACCTTCTCCGTCCATTGACACTTTTAATCCCAAATGACCAGCTTTCTTAAACGAATAAAACTTCTGAGTTGATGGATAATTAGCCGGTAAAAGATATTTCGTTACAATCTCAACAGTAAAATCATTGGCTCTAAAATCAGAATCATGAAGAATCTGTCCCATTTAGATATAAAAAAAAATTAACTATACATAAAAAACTTTAAAAAAAAAATCTTACTTTTAAATAGGTTTCAAATCCAAAATAGACTGAACCATCCTTATTCATTTTACAGTTTGTACCAAAAATTGTGCCGTACTTGTTTAATCCTCCATTATCGTATAATTTAGTAGATGATAGCAAAGGCCCAAAGTTTGTTTCGTTGTACCAATCATACAATAGGATAGTCTCAGAATCTTTGTGCAGGAATGGTAATCTTGAAAAACCTGTTTTTTTGCAACAATAAGAAAAAAAAGACTATTTGAAAATAAGAGTTTATTTGTTACCAATTTGGCAATATTGTAGAAAAAGTAGAAAATTGATGATACACATTTTTTTCAAATAGTTTCATTCAAGAAGATAATAAAAACTGAATAGAAAAAAACATTCACTGTTTTTCTGTTATAAAACAAAGTTTTAGATTGATTTATTTTTTCCTTATGGAAATAATAAGGCAATTATCTCCTTTATTGACATTAATTGTTTAGTTAAGAATGTAACTCATTTGCTGAAATAGTAAAAATTGCCAATAAACATTACATTCTCTTCATAATTAATTATAAAGAAAATCACTTTAAAATGAATCTATTGTTTCATGACTCATATACTATTTAATAGGATAATTGCAATAGATGTGGTTTTTTCAGCCAATGAACGTATTGTTCCATCTTCAACAGTTATCAGATTCTGTAGTTTTACAATCACCACACCGAATATCTATTCTAATGAAACTTTTCTTCTCCAGATTGCGGTACTGGTTGTCGCCATTGCAAAATTCAAGGCATTCGTATAAACTGCATAATCTGCAAACCTAAATATGGTTTAACTGATAGCGGCAATTGTATATCCTGCGTTCCTAACTGCGAAATCTGCGATAGCAAAGGCAAATGCTTTAAAGATAGATGCGAAGAAGGGCGAACATTAGATTACACAGAGAAAGTTTGTCAGAGTTGTTCACAACTGAGTGAACACTGCAACAAGTGTGTTATCATCAACTTTCTAGATTAATTAACAGAAATTTGTCTAGAATGTAAGAGTGGCTATCTTTTAAACGGTTTGAAAACGGATTGCCTACCTTGCAGTAGCCTTGATACCAACTGCGAAAAATGCAGCTTAAACGACGAAAAAACTGCTGTTGATAGATGCTTTAGTTGCGGAAATGGGTACAATGTTAAATCGGACGGAAAGGGTTGCTATACGTGTTCAGATATTAATTGTTTAAGCTGTTCGGAAAATAACTTTTGCTTGAACTGCAAACCTGGTTTTACAATTTCAGCAACTGGAATTTGTGTACAATGCTCAGTTGGAAATTGTACAAGTTGCTTAAAAGAATCTTATCAGACTCAATGCAGTTCGTGTCATGACTCATTCACGTTATCTAATGATAAAACGAAATGTACATCTTGTACTTCATTTTGTGAATCCTGCTCATTTGTTAATGAAAGTAGGACGGCCGGAAGTTGTAATCAATGCTCAAGTGGTTTTGCTATTGATAATGTAAATGACGCGCTTTGTTACGCCTGCAATTCGATTAATGAAAATTGTATAGAATGTAAAGACCGCGACAAAACATGTAAGACATGCAAAAGTGGTTTTGTTACTTCGCTTGATGGTTTACAGTGCATATCTTGCTCTAGTCACGTGACTGAAAATTGTTTGAAATGCTCGAATTCTAACACGACTCGAATTTGTGAAGAATGCGTTGAAGGATTTACACTTTCAGTTGATAGAAAGACATGCATAAATTGCGGTAAAATTGCCAACTGCAAAGAGTGCGATAATGCTAATGAATTAAATGAAGTCAAATGTTATAAATGTTCTACGTCCTACTCACCTAGTGTAACGAAAGCTGAATGCCTTAGTTCCAATCCGGCCTGTTTGTCATGTACATTCACGAATCTCGGTGTTGAATGCAACCAATGCGAAAAGGGATATATATTAAAACCAGATAAATCCGGTTGTTTGGAATGTCCACCTTCTTGCTCCAAATGTAGGGCTGTTGATAACTTTCAAGCTCACTGCATCAGGTTTGAATGTACTGTTGGACACGGACTATCGGACAATGAATTCCGGTGCAGTCCTTGCCAACTGAATTGTCAAAAGTGTATGAAGACAATATTTGGAAAAAGTATTTGTATTAAGTGCACGGATGGTTTCACCCTTGGTCCTGATTCAAAACAGTGTTTCAAATGTCCTCCTTCCTGTATTAATTGCGTACTTAGAGGTAGTGAAACGTTCTGCATAGCAAGCGGGTGTAAGGCTGGCTATGTGACAAAATCAGATGGTACTTGCGGAGTCTGCGGAGTATCTTGCGAAAAATGTTTCACAGCCGGAGATGGAAGTTTCAAATGTTCAAAATGTTTTCCAAAATTCACGTTTGATTCGAATAGGAATTGTTTACCATGCCCTTTCAACTGCAAATCATGTTCATGGGATAGTACTCATTTCAGAACGATATGCACAGTCTGCGAAGATGGTTATACATATTCTCATCGTGACAACAAATGTTTCAAATGCGTTAGTCCTTGTCTCACGTGTTACCAAACTGAAACGGAAAAACTCTGCAAAAGTTGTAAATCGGGTTATTTCTTGAATCAGAAAAGCAAAAATTGCCTTCGTAAGTTTCTTTCTTTAGTTTTTCTTTGATTACAAACTAAATTGTTACAATCAGCTTGCCCGAATGGATGCTACCACTGTTCCAGTGTTCCTGGTAATACATTTGGTTCCAACTGCTATACATGTACAAAAGGATTTATGCTGATTAACGGACAATGCATAGGTTAGGAAAATAATCTCTTAATGTTCTTATCTTATTTGATTATCCTTAGAATGTCCCAACAATTGCGAAAAATGCAGTTCAAACTTTGGTATTGTTCGCTGTTCATCAACCGGATGTTCTACGGGATATGGATTGAAACAGTCTAATAAACTATGCTACAAATGTCCAAAAAATTGTCAATCATGCTATGAAGATAAAGGTGGATTGTTTATCTGTACAAAATGAAGTTTGTACAGCTTGTCCGCCAAATTGTATTAAATGCGAAATTTTGAGAAATCACCTTGTGTGCTATCTATGTAAACAAGGATTTCACTTGATAAATGGAAGTTGTGTATTTTGCACTAAAAATTGCGAAGATTGCAGAATGGGGTCAAATGGTAAAGCAAAATGTATGAAATGTTCACCTGGGTATGGTCTTAAGGAAGGTCTATGTATTGGTAAGCAAAAAACAAAATAAATCAAACGAATAGCGCAGTGTATATGTGTTTTTTTTTTATATAGAATGTACCACAATGACGTTATCGGAAGGATGTTCAAGTTGCTCAATAATAAATGAAAAATCTATATGTACTCAATGTACATATGGTTATCTCATAGGAGGAAAATGTTGGCCTTGTCTGATCGACACTTTTGATTATTGTAAAAATTGTTTAATGATAGGAACGTGTCACACTTGTAAAGGAGGATATGAGCTGTTGGATGGAAAATGCTCTTGTAAATACTACCATCTTTTAATTTAAATTGGTTCTATAATTTTTTTACTAGATTTGTTTTTCAAAATTTTCAGTAACAGACATTAAACCTAAAGAAATAAGGTGTTACGAATGTTCTGGTGAGGAGAAAGATTGTGATTCCGATTCTTTATCTACAAAGAAATTTTGCTATGTAGGAGCTGGTGAGCATTGTATTAAGTTTGAACACACGTTCAAGGGTGTTACTACTTATATAAGAGGATGTTCAACTGAAACCTGTCCTGCTAAAAATGAGAATAACTGCAAAGAGATAAACCAAGAAAAACTCTGTCAAGCATGCTGTGACTCTGATTTTTGTAATCATGCACGAATTGTTGTTTCACATATTTCTGTGATAATATTGCCATTCTTACTACTGTTATCAGTTTAATATTAACAAAGATAGCAAAAAAAGCACCCCTAAAAAAATAATTAGGGCCTAGCAAGCTATAATTTTTGTGATGAGTCAATTTGTATCCAAAGGAAAAAGTTGAAGTAAGATTGTTGAAGATTGGTTCTTCATTACCAAACGATATAATTTTACTGTTTGTAGCTGTATTCTAAAAGAAAGAATGTCCTATATAATCACATGTAGGTCCATGTGATTAACGCTACCCCTCTTAAAGAACGTTATGTTTCTTTAGAATGGAACTACTTTTCTGTGATCTCGCCATACTAAAGATCTTTCTGTGAGGATCTGTAGGTTCCTAGGTTGTCCATCAGCAGACTTCTTTATTCTCTGTAGGCATCCTATTTTCCAATTGTGGTTTTTTAAGGAGACACTAGCTTAAACTACCAGATCATTAACCTTGGGGATTTTCCCACTTGGTTTTAATATAAAATGATTTATTCTATAGTGCATATATAAAAAAGGATTATCTAGGATTTCATTGATAATCAACGAACTATTTTGGTATGACAAGGGTTAAGCTGTGCATGGTTAAACAAGCTGCTCACTCATCTAAATTGCTAAGCTCTATGTTTGATTGTATGTTGACGTGTCCAAGTGAATTCACTCACATAGATTTCGTATTAAATTGGCCAAAGAAAAATAATTAACTCTTTAAGTTCAGTAGGAAGTTTTTTCAGACTTTCTCTCTTATTTATATAGAATATCTTTTTGCTTGTATTACGTTTTTAACTAAAACCAACTGAAATTTTATATAAACATTCATTTATAAGAATTTTTTGAAGGATAAAGTAAACGACACATATATTGGATCACCTCGAATTTTGATAGGCGAAATATTAATAATCGTTTTCATTATGAAGAAAGATTATTATCTTTGTTTTTTCAATCCTGAATGATAAGTTAAAGTTGGAATTTTATATAAATTTCTTTCAAAAAGCATTTAGGTAAGTTTTTACATATTTTTATGTAAAAGATAGCTCAGATAAAAAGATCTCTTTGAATTTGGGTCTGCTTCCCTCTTCATCTATGACTAAAGTGAAAGAATCATTTTCTTTCTAAAAAGAAAAAGAGAGGCTAAGAAAAAGATTACATAATATTAGACTGGAAAACAAATAATTTTACAGCACAATAATGCAAGACCACATACAAGTCTCCTAACAACAGACTTTATAAGAGACCAAGGGTAATCAATATACCCTGACCCACCATACAGCCCTGAGTTGGCCCCCCTCAGACTATTATCTTTTTGGGAGATTGAAGGACCATATCAGAGGGGTCCATTATGATCATTTGGAAGAATTGAAAAAAAGACATCAAAGATTTTCTAAGGAGAAAGCCATCCTCCTTTTATCAGCATGGTATCAACCTACTTGCAAGCAAATGGCAGGCTTGCATAGAGAAAGGAGGGGAATATTAGAAAATACAATTGTTAATATTTTTAGAGTAGACTGTAGGCTATAACATAAAAAAATAAATAAAATTTCACAAAGATTTCTTGCAAAAAAAAAAACACAGAGTTTGAAATTTTTTGGTCATACCTAATATAACAAATAATCTTTTGACAGTGAAAAATTGTTACATCACAGATCTAATATATAATCTTTCTAATGTTAATCTTTGTTCCTTTGCCAACTCCATTGTAGCTCAATCTATTATTGTCCATTATTCTATTTCCAACAAAGTAGAAGTATCTCTAAAATTTCTTCATATCTAATTTTCTAATATCAATATGTTACTACTTGGAAATACAAATGTTGCATTCCATCTTTTATGTAAAGAACTCAGATTTTAATATCTTACTTAGTCTCATTTGGATTTAACCCTAATTCTTTTAGTGTAAAAGTTTCAGTTTGTAGTAATTTGAAAAAGACTCCTCTTTGCCTTTTCAATTCTTCAATAGTTCCTATTTCTACTATCCTCCCTTGAGCCATAACAACTATTTTATCATTATTAATAATTGTATTTAATCTATGAGCTATGGTTATAATTGTACAATGCTCAAATTGCTATTGCAAAACACCTTGAATGAGATAATCTGTTTCCAAGTCCACATTAGCAGTTGCCTCATTAATCAATATTAAATATGATTGTTTTAATAATGCTCTTGCCAAACAAATCAATTGTCTCTCTCCAGTGCTGAAATTTCCTCCTCCTGCCATCATTTTTGATTGCAATTGATCTTTCAAATCTTTTACCTTTTTTGATAATTGAACTTTATGGAGGCTCATCCAAATCTCATCATCAGAATACATGTGCAATGGATCTAAATTGGATTGGATTGTCCCAGAGAATAAAACTGGGTCCTGTGGAATAACAGATATAGCTGATCTAGCCCTACTGAGACTAACATCTCGTAGTATATCAACATTATCTAAAAAAATTTGTCCTTCAACAATAGCCATTCTTACAAGGGCTGATATCAGAGAGCTTTTACCCGCACCAGTCCGTCCAACCACACCAATCTGAAATATAAATGATTTGGCCTAGAGAGACAAAAAGACAACTTTAAATAAATGGAATAAAACCTTTTCTCCAGATTTAATGGATAAATTGATAGATGATAATGTGTATGGTAAATTAGCATCATATCTCATTGAAACATTAACAAGCTGTAAATTTCCATTGCAAGGCCAACCAGATTGTATTAGTGATGAACTCTCCTCATTTAAATAATCTTTGCACTCTTCAGATGGAAGGTTAGAGTACTCTTTAATACGATCAACTGATATCATCTAAATTGTATAATATATACAGTATTCATAAATATTTTAAAAAAATGCTAAAAGAAAATACATACAACTCCATCAACCAAGATAAAATGAATGGATAATTAACAATATTAATAATCTTGATATACAAGATGAAGTGATCTCAGGATGTTGAATTTTCATTGTCTATTGAAAAATATTCTGTGTTTCCATTTTTGTTCAAAGTATTGACATTTTTTTTTAGAAATTGATGAAATACCCTGCAAAATATGATTGGTAACATTCTAGGCCTTCGTATAATGAATTTTATTATTTCAATATTCTATAATTTAATAATTCAGAAATTATGGTTAAATCTTTTATGCTTACTTGCTACACAACCTGAACAGTGGCTTACCTTTAGAAGAGATACATTGTGCACTTGAGTTTGATATAAATGCTTTTCAAGGAGATGTACTCAAAGATATTCTTGAGCTCCCTATCCTTAACACGTACTATAAAAATGATTAAGAGTTTACTGTAAAAATGAAAAGCTTCTAGATATAAAGAGGGTAAAAGACAAAAGCATCCAAGAGATTTAGATTTTGAAATAAAAGTAAAAAAAAAATTCCTATGGATTCTTACTGAGAGATATAAAACAAAAGAAAAATCTGTGTATCGTATTTTGGTACTTTTGAATCATTGAGATGCACGAATGTTTTACACTTATGCCATAGTTTTGGTCTAGATAAAAAACTCTTCAGATATGGAATGCTTCTCGGCAAGAATAAATTTTTGTTTACTCCTGTTGTACAAAATATTGGTACTAAGTGAAGTTGAAAAGTCTTAAAATAAGAAAAGATTTACAATTATGAATGAAAAATCATAATGGAAGAGAAGTTATTGCTTTATGTGATTCAGGAGCACTTTTGTTCTTCATGATAGAAAAAGAAATCCGGTTAATGGACTCTGAATTCACTATGAAAGAAGCCACTTGCTTATCATCATAACTTCAGAAGAGGGAAATGTTTTAAAGACAAAAGAGAGAGTAAAATTTAAAATCCAGTTTAATGGAAGAATTATGGAACAATAAAGACAAGACAAGGATTGTTCAAAACCAACAGATTTAAGAGTTGTTATATTATGTAAAGTGATGTAAACAAACATGTTTGTACAAATAAATCCTTCATTTATCAACTAAAGTCCTTGCCTAACCCAAATGACATAGCCCTGTCAGTGGACCCAAACCCTATACCTGCTTCATTTAATAGCTAATAAGTAGAAGTTAATGGGCAAAAAATGTTCTATTTAGTATTTAAGAACTCAGTTTCAATGATGACATTCCAATAGATATTTTTTTATTTAAAATTTTTAACTATTCATTATTAAAAATGACTGTTGCTTCACACAAACTTGAATCATTATCTGGATATTTTTGGTATTCTTTTACAATTTGTATATGACGACTTACTCCATATTTGCACACATATTTACATAGTTTTATAGAAAATTGATCCGTATTTTCTGAACTTCGAAAGGAACATTGATTGAGAGATAGATTACCACATTTTTCAATATTATCTTCCTTGTAAACCATAATATCCTGACAGTGAAATTGATTATTATTCTCGTTAAACCATAGATTAACTTCAATAGAACCATTTGCCAAACTTTGTTGATTAATTGAAATTTTATTAAAATGAATGTTAGATGAACAAGTTTGTAAATTATTATCAACAATTTCTTGGTTATTTGATTGAAGAAAATCTTTCTTAGCATAACAAACTAGCTTACCAAATGATAGATTAACCTCTGATGTTTCAGTAGTATTAATTTTTTTACTAACACAAACTTTTAAAAGTGGTAAATCATTTGTTGAAAAATTGATAGATCCAGAATAACTTCCATTAAAGTTATTTGTACATTTACACTTTAAAATTGGATTTCTAAAACATTTTTCATTTTCATCTAAAAATTTTAAAGTTTTATTATTTGATGAAAATATTAATCCTTCAATATTTTCTGATTTATAATTGCTACAGTCAATACTTATTTGTTGAGAGCAAAAATAGCTATTAGCTGCCAAGTGATATTTGTATTTTCTATAATCTGAAATACTTGTTCTGAAAAGAGAAATTGAAAAGTAAACAAAAAAGCAAAATGGAGGATAGAATTTTCTAGTGTTTTACCTCAAAAAATGTTTACTTTGAGAGCATTGGTCAGTTGATGTTGGTTTATATGTCACTTTATTCTGACCTATTGATATGAAATCTTGTGATTTTATATAACTTGTTGCAGAGTCACAAATATTTTTGTGAGGTTTACGGGTACGACCAATTACTTTGATTTCATACAATCCAAAAAATGTCTGATTATCTCTCTTATAAAATAGAAATCTGAGAAAACTTGTTGTCAATTCTGTTTGTAATGATGTAAATAAACTAGTTTTATTCACAATCATTTCAATTAAACTCTCATCACATTTGATGATTATAGAATTAATTTCATTTTCAATTGGTTGTTTTACAATAATTTCCTCAATTGAGTAGCTATCATAAAATTTGATCTCAATAAATATATTTTTATCCGTTGCCAATGGTATCCACATGTCATCAATATAATTAACAGAATCTTTTATTGCTAATCTACAATTACCAGTTGATGATTGGCAAGTTGCTCCACTTTCTATTCTTGAAACATCTAATGATATCGAACTGCCAATTGTATGTATCATTACAACAGATGTTTCAAGTGTCGATTTACTAAACCATTCAAGACACGATAGAAAATATTTATTGAAACCAAGAATTTGAAATTCACCAATTTCTAGATTATCATAATCTGATTCAGTAACTGTTACATAGATTCTATTTATAAATGTTAAATTAGTAAACGCAATTTCATTCCAGCCCTTTGTAAAATTATGCTCTAAATCATAAATATCTCGACTGTTTAAGAATGTTAATGTAAAACTTAACTTTTCATGTCCATTACGTAATTTCAGGAGACGTAAGGTATGTAATTTAAAATGTTCTCCACCAGGAATATGAAACCATAACTTAACTTTGCTTATATTTAATCTACTTCCATCAGTTTTAAATTCAAAAGGAGTTCCATCATATAAATTACCAAATGTATACTTTCCTAGGTGAATTGATCCACTTTGAACAATATGCTGATGGGGTGATAGCATATTTACATAATCTTCATAAAATCCAAAGATTAATGGTACAAATAGTAATATCACACCAAGATAGTTTGTAGCCACATACATTACCATTTTGTACAATGTGTTCAAGGAAAGGAAACTTTTAACTAATACACAGCCTTGTTGTAGTCTTGAAAATATAGATAATTAATTGTTCAATTCTTATAAATAAATAACAAATAAACGTTTTTTACATGTCAAAGCATACATGTTTTAAATATTTTATTTATTATATATTGACCTAATTTGTGTATAGAGACAAAGAAAATTGTTTAAAGAAATTCAATTTTTCAATTTCTTTTATTTTTGGTTAATAAGTTTCACAAGATAATTGATAATCTTGTTTTACTTCAACATTTAAGACATTCAGTTTTCTTTGTATCAATGGATCAACAAGAAATATCCATAAATTGTCAGAAAATATCTAAAGTTTCCAATAACCTCCATAAGTAAATTATTTTATTTTGATAAAAACTGGTAAATACGAAGAAAATCTATTGTACACTTAGAAACAAAGACATAGTGATACTTTACATATGATAGAGAGACTTTAGAGAGATTTCTATTTTGTAGGAATTAGAATAATGGAAATTTGGAAAGACCTCTATTTTGCAGAATTAGAATAATGGAATTCAAGAAAGAATCATATTTTATAAGAATTAGACTCTTTGACCAAAACAAATGAAGCCAATATGAAATTAGCAAAGGAACAAAGAACATTGAAAATACTGATGATCCTGATTTTTGAAATGGTTTGAGCTGTGAATAGATTGAATCTTATCCCAAATTCTTACAAATTGAATTTAATTGAAAAATAGTGTCACTAACTTTGGGTAATAATATGAGAATAGCAAATGGTTGCTTTAACATTTGTAAAGGACTTCAAAAATCATCAGGCACGTTAGAGGCATTTAATCTATCTGATTGCTATTTAAATAAAAATTTATTGAATCGTTTTCCTTACCTAAAATATAATTGTTTTAAATATTAACATTAAAATTCTTTCAAATGTAACTTCAATTGGATTTACGTCCAAAACTGTTACTATTAGAAATCTTTGAATAAACCATTATATTAAACACTGTGTTGAAAGGTTTGAGTAAAAGCACTACTTTATAACTGCTAGTTTGGTAACTTGGCAATCTGCTACTATAAACTATCTTTTTGTCATTGAACTTGGATATAACTACTTGTTCAAGTGTCTTATTTTAAAAAAAAAATTCTTAATTCAGCTACAAACAATGTTATTTTTAGTCTAAAGTTTCTTTTCAAATCTTCATTCAATTTTTCAAATCTTTTTTGGAGAATCTATGTACAAGAAATACGTAAGTACTATCACATACCCAGAGATGTTATGTGCTGAATATTTTACTAAATTTTGACTCTTTACAATATTATTTGTCCTTTCCAATCCTTTAATAATATTGTCAGAGCACTGATGGATGCAACAGAAAACGTCCACAAATCAGTGCTTTTACCCTAACGCTAACCCAGCCCTTAGCTGTACCCAACCTTTTCCATTAGCCCTAACCCTTATAGGAGATCCTCCTAAGTACAAATCAGTTGCTGTTTTCTTCTGCCCATCCATTTCTCAATTCAAACTTTTGTCTTGAAATTTCTCATTTGTGGACGTTTTCTGTCGACCCCAAATGTACAGTATTATTAAAAGTCCAGAGTTTTGCCAATAGAATATGTATTGAGTAAATCAATGACAATCTTTGGAAATCAATCTCCTTTTATACATTTGCCAATGCTTGGGTTCACTTTTTCTTTGCCTATGCCAATTTCATTGTGGCTCCATCTATTATGGCCAAAGAATCTATTTCTTACGAAATTGGATTCTTTCTAAAGTTCCATCATTCTAATTCTTAGGAACTGCTACTTAAGACAATAGTTCCTAATAGCTACACTAGCTGTAGGGCTAACAAGCTTGTAGGTGAGTGCAATAAAGGGCTTGCCAGTCAGCCTTTGATTGGCAAACCCTAATCTTAAGACCTAAGCCAATTGTTAACGCATGTCTTGTTATTTATACAAAAGTAGATGGCGCTACTAGTCTAATATAAAAAGGTTCATGTCAGGTCAATCTATGTTAAGAACACTGAAAAATCTTTAATTTTACTTAAATTTTTTAATGTTTCTTGATAGAATTCATTTCATTCAACTCTTTTTACAGTTACAAAAGAAAAAAAGCAATAGAATTATTATTCCAGCAAGAGCAATAGTGACCATAAGACCATTTAGAAGTGATGTAAACATGCTTGTTTTCTTCTCCTTTTCTCCATCAACTTTTTCAGTTGTCAACGATTCTCCAGTTGTTCTACAATCTTTTGTAAATCATATTGGAGGATTAGAAGAATAAAAAAAAAAGATTGGCCAATGTTATTTTGAGTAGTGATGTCTTTGCTAACTCTATCACTGCCACTGTTAGCTGTTGTTGTTTCATCATTTTCTATGCACAGAGATGAAGAAGAAGATGGGATGAAAGTTGTACTATATATTTTGAAGTAGGGACATCATCACTGGCTTTGTTACTTGTAGTGCTAAAAGTTGTTTCTCCATCAATCTTAACACTTTGACCTTGAATTTTTGATAAATCAACAGTTGGTGATAGGATGATAAGAGACAGAATAGCTGTGGCTATACAAGGACCTCTAGATTTGTCATAAACGTACAAGATTACATCAAATTGTCCGGAAATTAATGGCGTCTTTGTTGAGATGATCTGATTAGTTTCATTTTATATCTCTAATTCGAAATCTCGATTTTCTATCCCATGAATCGACATGTCGAATATCAATTCAAAATTTAATCCTAAATCATCACCTTTCGCTTTCACTTCGAATATTGTTGAATTTTTTTCAATATCCGATTTAATTATCTTTGTTGTTTTGTCATTTTGAATTATTGAACATTCATTAATGTCATTAGCAGTTAATGTCAAGGTCGTTGAAGTTCTTTCAGCAGGAATTCCATTATCAGAGGCTTCTATTTGTATAGTATAGAAACCTGGTTGAATTTACTGCTTTACAGTAATTTTTCCAGTTTTACTGTCGATACTCAAAGTAATTGGTGTTTATACTATTTCGTAGTAAACTAATCCAGATTTTCCACTGTCTGTATCATTCGATTGTACAGTAAATAAAACTTCTCCAACATTTAAATTTTCACTAACTTCCGTTGAGTATTTGAAATTTAAAAAGACTGGTTGAGCTTTATTTGGAGCTATTTTCAAGGAACAGTCGTCACTTTCATATTCTTTACATTGGCATTTATTAGCGCTAATGCAACGGCCATTGTTAGAACAATCTGACACATTACTACAAACTGGAATACTGCAAAATTCTCCAGACCAGAAGCTATCGCACAAGCATTTATTACACTCGATACATTTTCCATGAGTAGAACAGAAGTTTAATTTCTCACAAGAAAATTTGGAGCAGTCACTTCCGTTGTAGCCTTTCTTACATTTTCCAGTTAATAGCAAATATCTTATCTAGCTATTTTACTCTTCTATTAGATAAAAGTGACAGTAAAAGAATGCGACAGAATACGTCCACAAATCACAGCTTTTACCGTAATCCTAACCCAGCCTTTGTCTCTGCCTGGTATTTTTCCCTAATCCTATCCTTAGATCTGCATCTAAGCCTTCCAAGTACAAATCAATAGCTGACTTGTTCTATCTGACCATTTTTCTCGAAATATATTATTTATGGACATATCTTGTCGACCCGAAATAGCAGAACAATAGATTCTTGTTCTAGCTATATTACTAGCTGCGCATACCAAACATTATTAAGAATAACGTACTTATGACTTTGTCTTGAACATTAGAGCTATTATCTATAATTATCTTTATTGAATAACCTATAAATATAATTATTGACTGTCAAGATCAAATTTGTCAATGTCATATAATAGAATAGAGTTAAGTTACGTGTATATAACTAATGTATACATTTAAAAGGTGCTCTCTCTCTTTCTAAGTAATATCATTACCCATAAATAAATGTTTGTTCATAGAATAATAAAGATCTTAAAGTCAACCAAATAATTCCAAAGCAAATGTACATTTATATATAACTCTTATTAAACTCTTGAAAATTTAATATAGCAATGACTACGATTGAAATTAGAATTCTTTTATCCTTCGTTATCTTTTCAAATTGTTCGCAGCTTTATAATTTTTTGGAATTTACTAGTAAAGAATTTTTATAAACCAAAGAATCTGTTTACTTTTCCAATATTTAATATACTTTTCTTTTAAATAGAATGTTCATATCAAAAGATTGATAAAAATAGACTTTCCGGCAGTATTTTATTGGCAACTCTTGCTAATGGAAGTACATTTCATTGTCAAGCAGTTTGTAATGAAATAAAAGAATGCAAGTAAGAATTAAAATTGTAATATACATTTTTGCTTGATTAATACACAAAAAATATTTAAAAATACAACTAGATCATTTGATTTCTATCCATTGGATGGGAATTGTTACTTAAAAAATGGTTCAATGCTCACCAATGGTTTAGTTGTTTCTACAACTGCTACTCATCACAGTAAGAATGATGATTGTAGTAAGTATTATTGCCATATTTGTTAGAAATTTTCCACCATTTTATCAAATAAATAACTTCTCCACGAATAGATAGTACTAAACAAAAAGAAGGTAAGTTTTGCCCAATAAATATGGATGTTCTCCAGCATCTTTAGATATTTTATTTATATTTTTTTAATCATTTTAGATTACATATTTAAGCATTTCAAGAATACTAAATTCATATATAGCAATATTGTATTTATCACTTATAAAGATGTGAAAAATTGTCATAAAATTTGTAAAAAGTTGGATATTTGCAAGTAAGAAATACAAAAAAAACTGTTACATTTCTTTTAACAATAAAATTTAGTTCACTATTTTGTGCATTAGAAGTATAAGTTATGAAAAAGCTACAGGAGAGTGTTTTCTCAAGACTGAAACAAAAGACCAAGATGTAAAGAATGTCTATTTTACTGAAGAGTATGATTATTATGAGAAAATAAAATGCAAGTAAATTCTATTTTCAAGGTTTTGCCTTAACACCAAAACCTTTTTTCACTGTTCTTATAACCGTTAGAGGGAACCCTTTCTTTTCTTTTTCAAATCAAATTATGTATTATCGCTCATTCATTATTATAGAAATACACTTTCCTAGAAAAACACATTACATTTAGTATTGAACCAGAAAGACTTTCTAGCAATCAATTGAATATATACATTTACTACACAGGAATACAATTTATTTCTTAAACATCTCTGAATAGTTTATAAATTTTGGTGACAATTAACTCTAATTTTGTATTGTTCTAGGTGACTATTTCTCTATATAAGTTAAAAATCAATATTCTTTTTATAGAAATGATTGAATGTTAAAATTCATAAATGAGATTAAAGATTTATGAACAATTTTACAAAAATTCATTCAACAGTCGTAAAGTTTGTAGTTAGTGCTTATTTGTCTCACTTTAGTACGTTTTGTGTTGACGCCAATTGGAAGTGAGTTATATGACTTCAAAATATGGTTCTAATTGGTTGGATGATATTATAGATTCAAATCTAATACTTTCTTCAGGACATTAAATGTATGGCAAATGTCTGATAAAAGTAAAAGAGCTATTGGATTAGTAACTGGTATTGTTTTAATACATAAATAACACCAAAAATTTTTGTATTTGTTTTACAGACAGATATTTCAAGATACATAAAACTGATTACTACAATAATGAAAATAGATATGAAAGATTTCTTATTGCCGCTCATAATTTAGTAAGAACTCAAACTGATGATAGAATTAATAGCATTGTGAAAACTCCGATTTCTATAGAAAAACAATTTGAATTTTGGAGAGTGTGTTATCATTTGTATCAAACACTAAAATATTTGTTGAATATCAATTAAAATTCAACTATTTTTAACTTTACTGTCAAATAACTATAGTGAAAACTGGTTGATATATTTGTATCCTTTTAATCAAAACGCCATGAAGCATTTCAAAATGACTATGGAAATGAATGAAAAAGTTGCAAATTCAGTCCAAGGTGAGTTTAATATCTTAATATAGTTTCTCTCAATTTCCTTCTTTCCCACCACCTTCTCCTTCATGTTCAGGTATATCTTGGTAAAATATTGGCGTTGGACGAATATCACGTATTTTGCTTATAATTTTTTTTTGGAACAACTTTGACGAACATTGGGTTAACTTTTTAAATATTTTTCTTATGGGAAAGTCATATTATTTGTCTTTACAATAAATAATATGAAACTATTTTATAAAAATCAGTCTTTTTGTTAAAAAATTCGTACATTTGTCATGATCTTTTCATAAAAATCTAAATGAATTTAAATTATATAAAGCCTCATAAAGGGTGAGAATTTTTTTACACAATGGCAAGAAATGTCAGAAATGGCTTTTGATTTATGATTTCTAAAAGCATTATTAATATTTAGTCTTCACATGTCATTAACCATTCAAGACTGAGTTAAACATTTTTGTCCTCTACTTGCAAGAAGCTTTTGCAAAAGAACGATCTGAGAGGCTATGCTGTGCTACAAGCAAGATGGATCTAAAATGTTGCCATCCAAGAAATTGAAAGATATTTTGCGAAATGCGAGATGTTAAACAAGAGCCAAGATGAAGTGAACAATATTATTTTAGGAAAAATTCAATTTCATTGATATCAGTCTATGTCAAGGCCAAACTGAATGTTAGGTACTAAAAAGTTGGGTTAGGGTTATGGTAAAAATGCAAAATAGGGGACACAAGATTAATGACCTGGTAACCTTTAAAAAGATATAGTTGCAAAAGGGATTTTAGTTGAGCACTCGAACTATGACATATATGCTTGGCTAATTTGTCTTTAGTTTCTTAAATGATCATTTAAAATGACGAATTTGCTCCCATGTTTGAAACTGATCCATAAGTCAATAATAGTCAACTGTTACCATTTGGTATACAGTACTGATATGAAGTCTTTTCTACACTGAAAATTTTTACTCTTTTCTCATTTTTTCTTTTTGCACACTTAAAGAAAGGCTACTGTTAATTATTCATTTAAAAAAGTAGTTTTTCTCTTTAATTTTTTGTTGACATTTTTGAATGCCTTGCCTAAACCTAAATATTAATCAATCAGTTTAGAAAATTGTTGAATGAATTCAATACTCCTTTATAAGACACCCAGTGTTGAAAATGCCCACCATGCAAAACTGCAAAAGGATTTGATGTAAATTCTTTAATTGTTCTTCCGTAACTCCTTTATGATACTAATTTTAATAAAATCATCAATTTGTTCAGCAATTCTTGAACAAATAATAAATAATTTATTAATAGCTATAGATAACAACAGGAAACAGACAAACAAATTGAGACATCAACTCAGCTGAATGACTATATAACTTGTAATAGGCCTATATCTATTACAATCAGTTTGTCTTACCTATCCTTACTGTAGATAAGTAGTATTAGATATCTATTTTGTGAGATGTGTTGCAGTAATATATCTATTTAACTGGTTATTATTTATAATTTACTGTACAGGTGAATTTTTTCAGGTATTTAAAAAAAATGGCAAAAAATATTTGTTACAATGAAGACTTTTCTGCTTTCTAAAAACAATTGAAATGATTAAATTTTTTGGATGGTTAATTCTATATGTATTTTGTAACTTTGCAATATCAGTTATCAGCAGTTTTGGGTGTTCTTATCAAGGAAAATTGTTATCTGATCATCTAAATGATACAAGTATAATTTACTCATTGAGAACAATAAAGGAAGATAGAGTATCAGTTTATGGCAGAGTACTTGTCACTATCAAATCAATGGAAGAGAGGGAGATTGGTGTTGCTTTTGGACCTGGTATAAAACAAGAGTTTCATGTTGGATTGTGTATTACTCTTGGCTATGATGACATTCATTTTAATGCTGAAGCTTGTAATCATGAGAATGGTGAGAAATTTGATAAGGAGGTGAACAGGAAGTATGCTAAAGTCATGGCAGCAAAGGCATGGGATATTTCCTGTTGTTCTCCATAATTTTTTTGTCAAAAAACTAAAAAAAAAACTTTCAGCGAACTTATCAGTGATACTACTCTACGAAAATGGCCAACACGTTTTGTAAGATTTTCAAATATTTAAACTCTATTTTCAAATATTATTGTATACTTTCGCTGTTTGAAAAAGAAAAGAGATTCAAGTAAAAAATTTCCGTACTGCGTCTTTTTGTCTAAAATGTTTTAAAATAGATTTTCCATGTAAGAAAAAAATGGTATTATTCACATGTTTTTTACATTAATTCTTTCTTTCTTTCTTTCCTAATGCAGTTTTATTTGCTATTCGATCATCTCGTCATCGTGAGTTGTACGACATCGCTGTTAGACACAATCGAAAAACATTTATAGCCTCCTGGAAGGCAAATGTTACAACTGGTAACATTTGCCATCAAGTACTATTTTACAAGAATAATAGGCAATCTTTAATTGTTGAACAGCAAAATATTGCTGTAGAGCTTGTCAATGGAACTATTGTAAAATTTTTGGAATTCTCCAAAGAGGAAAGGAGTGATATATCTTTTTCCTCAAAGGTGTTGGAATGCGAAAAAAATGATCTCAAAGGTTGAGTAGTCTGTATACTCTATTAGTTATCAGTCTACACAGCAATAATTTTGATTTGCAGATCTTTCAGTGGAGTTTATGTCAGATTTTCACAAATTATTTATCTTTCAAAAAAATCTTACTGATAAAATATCTTACATTTTTTTATCAAAAACTTTTGGCCATTTTCCAATTATCTTTATAAATGTACTTGAATCAAGAGAAATTGGTCAAATGATTTGCAGACTTGGCGGAAGGAATAGATTACCAAACCCTCATGTTCTACACTCTTTTAGACCACACTTTTCCAATAGATGCCCACAAGTTAGCTATCATTTAGAAAATTTTCTAGTTCCTTGTTTGCAGTCTTGCAGTTGGACATATGAGTTGTATGGTGGATGTAAATTTCATGATGGATTCAAAAGGGGTACCACATTTGCAGTAGAATGTGGGGCAGCCACTACAATACAAGGTAATTGAATACACTTTACGAATATATATATATATATATATACTGAATAGTTGAATATTCAATTTTTCAGATAATACTTTTATGCTTTATAGAACTGATACCAGTTTTATTTTATCAACAAGCAAAGACCAGCCAAAAAGCGGGTCTTTTGCAGGATCATTAATCATGTTTCATGGCCTTTCTTGGCTTAGATCAATTCCGCAAAATCTTAAGAGCTTTGAGATTTTAAACATTTGTAGATCATTGGGATTTAAGAATGGTAGGCTAAAAGCAGAAAAATCTTCATCTAATCTAAGAATACATAGGGAGCATGCATTTTCCATAAATTGTCCAAATATTGGTGACATTACTCAGTGTAACATTTCACTGAATTATTCCTACGGAGGGTTTGTATTTTGAAAATTTTTGACAAACTACTCTTGGTATTTATTAAGTCATTTTGTTGCAAACAGTAAAAGAGGATTTTTCTATGACCTATTTGGAAAATATATACTGGAATGTAATCATAATGAGAGTAGTGTATCAATATAAATTCTTCTTCTATCATTTATGCTTTCTTTTCAAGAATTTTTCTGCCTGGATCCTCAAGCCTATATTATCCATGGCGGTTGCTATATCCAAATTACCTATCATCGCCCATTATCTATAAATAAGGCATCAGAGGAATGTAAAAAGAGAAACTCAACTCTATCATACTATTCCAGTGATGATTTCAAATTTCTCTCTGATTTATCTCAGGGAATTGAATATAGTGCATTTGCAAACATGAAGATTGTACCAGGAAGTATATACAAAATATTTTTATATAGAGCTATTTGTATACTGCATGTTTAAATGCAAGATTTTCTGAAAAGAATTTCAAGTACTCAATGATTCAAAAGGGTATAGAAATCTTCTATTCAGTGATGGAAAACCCTACAAGTTTTATGGTTTTACATTAAATTTTGATTTAAAGTTTGGCAAACATTTGTTCCATATTTTTTTCTTTTACAAACAAATAATCTCTCTTTTCTCTTTCGGCAGATTCTTTAGAAAATGTCTACAACTTTCACTTTCCAAACGTTTTCGAGAGTATTTCCATCACAAAGAATACTCACAATGTTATTATGCTGAAGGGATCCAAATAAAGCATGTAGCTTACTCAATAACCTCATTAAACTGCGATAAGAAGATAATTACTGACAATTTTTGTAAGATACCTTGTAAGTTCTCCGAAATTTTATTACAAACTTTTCCTTTACATTCTTCTCATTTGTCACGTGATCATACCATAAATGATTTAACAGATACATTTAACTTTTCCTTGACGAATGATACAGAAAATAAAGATTTTATGGATTGTCCAATCAACTTGTTTCAATGTAGGAAAGATAAGATTTGTATTAATTCTATTAGTGTTTGCGATGGAAGAAAAGATTGCTTCTCTGGGGAAGATGAGGCCAATTGCTCAACAATTGGAAATCTATTCTACTGCAATGAAAATACTACAATCTTAAATCAATTTGTATGCGATTATATCAATGATTGTCCTAATAAATTGGACGAATTGAATTGCGGTAGGAAGACAAAAACCGAAACAACTGCAAATTAAACATTTCATATACTTTTTATCGTATTTTCAGAAAGGCTTCAATGTAATGACAAAGAAAATAGGTAAATGACCTTGACATTGAACATTCTGAAACATTTAAAAAAAAAAAACTTTTTTACAGGTGCGACAATGGTCAATGTATTCCTGAGAAATTGATTTGTGATGATGAAAAGCACTGTTTTGATGGAAGTGATGAAAAATGCGGTACATCATTGACAGCAAGACAAGGTTACAATTTGAATTTCTTATTAAAAACAAGAGACAAACTAATAATATAACATTTCTAGATGATTGTAAAAAATACAAGGCCTATAATTGCGATAATAGATGTATACCAAACAGGAGAGTTTGTGATTTTCAAATCAATTGTCTTGATAGAGAAGATGAAAAACAATCTGTTTGCGAATCGTTGAGTAGTTACGATGCTAATGACTGCTCTAAATTTCGTAGATCTGAAAAATATAGATGTAGAGTTGAATACAATTCAATGGGAAATCTTTTAACAAAAGTCCATTATCCCTTTCTTGAACTGGAAAATTGCAGTAAAACAGTCTGCCCTTATGGACAGTATTTATGTAAATTAGGTGGATACTGCATTTCTATAAAGCAAGTATGTGACGGAATTGTGCATTGTATTCACTACGATGATGAACAAAATTGCGGTAAAAATAGTACAGTTTTGAATCTATCATTCAAATCTAATTAATCTCAATTCAAAAGACCAGTTTTTTCCCAGAGGATATCTTAAGTGCAAGAATGAGAGAACATTTATTCCATTGAGTGACATCTGCAATCACATTATTGATTGCCAAATGGGCACAGATGAATTATATTGCGATTTTAATGCAACATGCCCTAATCATTGTATTTGCAGTCACTTCTATTCAATTCAATGTTCATTTAAAAATGTCTTAAATCATCCAACTCCAATATTGTTTGCCAAATTTAAAAAAATTGAAATTTATCACAAATCAACATTTGTAAATTTTCCATCCTTAAAAGACTTTTCAACAACTTTTCTATCATTCCATAATTCTACACTATTCAATTTTACTATATCAAAAACATATCCAAATCTTGCATATCTTTCTCTAATCAACTGTAAGGATTTCAATTTATCTCTTATCTTTTCCAGTCCAATGATTAATCTTCAAAATTTGGTCATAAATCGTGGAATTATCAAGACAAACATTGAAACTTCATTAAGAAAATCGCCATATTTGATGTTTATCAATTTCACATTTACAGACATCTCTTATTTGAGTGAAAAATTCTTTTTGAATTTGAAACAACTCAGAATTCTAATTATTGATTTTTCACATATTCATGATTTTAGTAAGAATGCATTCTCTCCTCTTTCAAATCTGAAGAGATTATCTTTGAAAAGTACAAAACTACCGTTAAAGTATAAGAGTTTATTAATAAAACCTTTGCAATCATTGGAAGTATTGTACAGTGAATATTTCTCATTTTGCTGTTTTTCTTGGCAATATTCCAAAAACATAAGAGATTGTCATCCAACAAAATCTCTATTCAATTCTTGTACAGATCTACTAGAATCTGATTCTCTTCGTTCAATTTTGTGGATATTTGCAGTAGTTGGCTTCATTGAAAATTGTTTATCATTGATTTTCAGAGGAATTCTCTCTAAGAAACAGAAAAATTGGTTTCATTTGAGTTTGTCACTCGCTGATTTTTGTATGTCAATCTATTTGATTATTGTTGGAAGTGTTGATTTATTTTTCAGACAAAATTATATTGAAAATGACTATGATTGGAGAAATAGTCTTTTCTGCATAATTCTGGGATGGTTTTGCAGTTGGTCTATTCTACTCTCATCCCTTAGTCTTCTTCTCATTACCATAGAAAGATATGTTATCATTATTTATCCTTTCAAGAGAATCTTTACAAAAAATAGAGTATTATTGCTGGTGACATTTGTATTCATTTTATCAGCATTTATCTCTACTTTTCCATTGTTTATCTATGAAGTATGGAAAAATAATAGAGTAATGAATAATTTTTTAACTGACAAACAAATTGCAGACATACTACTCAAGAAGTCCAGTATGTTTTACCCTTTACATGTCGAGTGAGAAAATTGAAGGTTGGCTATTCTCATTTGTGATCTTTGGAATATCAATCTCTGCAATATGTCTATTAATCATTGGATTATATGTAAGAATTTGGAGAGAGACACTTATTGGAAGAAAATTGATTAAGGAAGATCAATTTAAAAGTCAACAGAAAAAGTTTAAATTAAATGCCTTTTTCATTGTTATATCAAATCTTTGTTGTTGGTTTCCCATTTCTGTTTTAGGTTAAGTATTTGCTAAGGTTAAAATTATGATATTTCTCATTTTATCTAACAAATTAGGAG